GGATCGTTGGAATAGTCGAACGTAAGGAATGCCGTTTCTTTTTCTCGTTTCTCCATAAAACGTCGCATTCCCCGGCCCCTTATCGTCTTCCTTTTCCATTGCGAACAGCTGCGGAGACACATCGACGGCGCGCCGTGAAAAATCTGAGGAAACAACCCATCGAAACGCCCGCTCGATAGTCAAACGCTCCTCTAAAAATTTCCAGAATTCCCCGGGGCAAATTTGTTCTTATTGGCGACGACCGACGTTGCCAACTCTTTGCTTGAAAATTAGCTATAGTAAAAAATTTACTATACTGTTTTTTTTCTCATGTAAGATTTCGACAAACGATGGCAGAAAAAAAGCAGATGACATCCATACCAATCCACTAAAGTTTTTTTCATTCAGAACCTAGCATTATTATTATTAGTGGTTTCAATTAGCGTAAAAGTTTGTTCCTTTAATTTCAATGTAAGCATTTAGAACGTCAAAATTAGTGGTAGACATTTTCAATTAGTAGAAAAAGTTATCAAACTTTTGACTTCTCCACTAATTATACTTCAAAATTTGCTGCAAATGTCATTTTGGCATTTGATTGTCTTCCGTCAAGAGAAATTGTGGTTAGAAATCAAAAGTTAATTGTTTTATAACTTTGAATAAGAAGACTAAGGAAGGAGCATATCAAAAATCTTAGGTACACCGCGATAGACCTCAAATATGGCCGACTTAAATTCCGATTTATCAGTGTCGTTCTGATTTTATTTAAAAAATGTAAAACTATGATGTAGGGTAGACGTGGGGTAGACTCAATAATTTGTTGTTTTATTTTACGTTGTGAATAAATGTTGGTAGTTATTAAAATTGTTATAAAAATATATAATTCTAATAAAAATAGATAAGTTATAATAAGTATTTATTAACACAAACATCCGATACGCTACTGAAGCAGGTAAGTCAAATTGACGTATCTAAATTCTTTGACATCTAATCTTTGACAAGTAGTAAATAAAAGCAAAAATGCAAGAAAAAATATATAATAAGTTAATTTAAGTGAATTTCATAAATAGTCGGTTTACTACACGTATGTATATTATATAGTCACTTACTAGCGAAAAGTTGTTCCATTATTTCACTCGATTTTTGCCGAAATCTACCGCACGCTACACAACCACCTATTTTAGAGTCTTTTTCGATAAATTGCGATAGTGTCACTGTTAATTTAAGTTCTGCCACAATTTCCATCTAGATTTACTACCTTTATACAACTATCAGTAGTCGAATAAATAATAAATAACATAAAATAAGCTCCGTAAAGACTGACAAATCCACAAAATTGCAAATCAGATTCAAATGTGTCAAATGAATCGTCAAACAGAAGTGTCAAAGATCCCCACCCTAGAGTGCTTTTTCCGCCCACCAATACATGGATAGCATTATGCTCATTCCTTAGTCTTCTTATTCAAAGTTTTATAAGCTAAATATTAGGTTTTCTCTATGGATACAACCATAGATAAAAGACTTATAATATTAAATAGATAGGCAACTTATAATACATTTCAATTTTATTATGCAAAGGCGCCCCTGGTAATCGGAGGAAGAAACACTAGGTGATGAGAGGGGTGCGAGGAAGGAGGGTTGTTTTAGTTAATTGAAAATAAATTTAGACATACATGTAAGAACACTTTTTGTGCTTTTAATTAGGTCGAACATATTATAAACGATAAATAAACTTAATTAAAAGCATACAAAGTGTTCTTATATGTCGGATATTAATTAAAAAAATATTAAAAAGTTAAGTAATAGTATATATTAAGTTGTTACAGTTATAATTTAATTTTTGGCGGTTTTCACCAAATAGCAGGCAGTTTTACATCATTTTCCTCTCTTTGGAGTGAATTGGAAACGGCTATATAATTTTGGTGTAGGCAAGATTCCCAGTTTGTTTCCGTTTGAGACCTGAAATAATAAAAACAAATTAAATTAGATTTAATCATCTGCTGATCATGCTAATATAACGCAACGCGCGTCCTTAATTCCTTACATGCACCGTAAAAAATTTCATAACTGCTCAGCAATTAGCATTTATTAGCAGTACTAATTTAAAAAATTTATAACTGTAAATAGATATATTTAATTTACTTATCTTTATATCCTTCGGAAACCCGGTGTACAACAATTAAACTCCATGATAAAAAATAACTAAGAGTCTATAGGTCTGTTCGTTTTCCTGTTATTATCGATTCTGAATCGTCCTAGAACTCTCCAGCGCATGCGCAAATGAAATAATGTCTTCATATTTCCTTCCGCGCATAGGCATCACAATTCTAGGACGGTTCAGAATCGAAAAAAGCTTATACAAAACACAATTAAAAAAAAAAAAAAATTCGTGTTTAAAAAAAATCTGTAGTTGTTAGTAATGTATGGCATATCGCTTCTTTGATTTTAAAGAACATAACATAAATAAACATAACATACGCAAAATTTAAAAATAATCATACAGGAAGTTTGGGGCTTTTTGGTTTTACCTTATCAAATAATTGTTAATATAGAAGTTTAACTTGATATAATGTCATTTTAACAGAACGTCAACGGTTTCTTGTAGACGTGTCTGCTTTAAAAAAAAACTAAAGTGTTCTCATAATAGTTTGAATTTAAATATTTTAAATAGTTTTTTTTCTTTATTCTTTGTATTTTTTTTTGCTTCTGACGACGAAAAGAGATAGACTTTCGTTAAAAAAATAAACGTTGAGCATTTTTTTCTTTGTTAGGCAAATTTTTATTACTGTAAACAAAACTTCTGACAAGCAGTGTCCGTTTAGGTTTAACGCAGAAGTGTTTACAAAAAAATAACTATTTTATTTTGTAGATTTTTCTTGCAGTGCAGTGGCGAAATACGCATAAAGGATTTTTTTGGAGAGATGAATCCGCCACATAGGCATAGACATTTTTTAAAACACAAATTGTCCCACCATTTTTAAAAAACAATGTCTTAAACAGAATCCATTGCCAAAAAATCTGAAGGAATTTAATTTTACAATAATTCCACAAATCAAACCGTAAAATCACAACAAAAGCGTCTCAGAGTGTCAGTATGGTGTCAGGGGTGTCAGTTAAAAATCAGATTTTATTGTCAGATAGACATTTGCATTGTTGATATTGACAGTTTTAATATTTTACGCCTCTGCATCTTGGAGGAAGAACTATTTTCAATGAACTGTCATTTCCATTTAAGTTTCCCAGCCATGGATACAACTGACTAAAGCAAGCTGTTGCTAGGATATTCTATTAATTTTAATTGTTTTTTAAACATTGTGAATGATCGTAAACTAAAAAGTATAAAGTGTAATTGAAACCACTAATTGCGAGGTTCTGAATGAAGCTTAAAAAGTTTCTAATATTTTTTAACTTAACTATAGATGGATTTTTTTATAAATCCGTCGCTTCTTTTTGTTTTTAACCAGTTTTATTGATTCATTTAAAAAATGACAGGTCATATTTCATTATTATTGGTTTGACGGAACGATGAACGACAAACGGACGCCGATGCGCATGAACTCAACTTAAGTTATCAAACTCTTGCCAAATTATAGGTTATAATTTTCTGTCAAAATTATGTCAAATAGAAATGATAAATATTTTGTATTCTGCATTTTGGACTGTTTATTACGTGTGTTTCGTGTTTTCTAAAATTAAGTGAAGAAAAACTCGAGGAAAAATTAAGTTTTGACCCAGATTATAGTGCCCAGAGACCGACACATACACAGTTTGCAGAAGACTATAGCCAAAGAGTTGTATTAGCCACAAATAAAGTTTGTATACCATCTCGTATATGGTACCAAAAACTGGAGTATCTATAAAATAACATCACACGATAGGCAAATATTAAATTTTAGTACTGCAGAGAGCTAATGTTAAGAGGTACTGGTTTAAAAAAATTAAATATAAAGTAGATAATGTTTTTCGTCTCTGGTCCTGGCCTTTTTCTTAATAATTTGATACCACACACTTGGTATTTCGAGCCAAATTGTCGTTGGTTCAATGCGGTTCGTGCATGTTACAATTTCCAATAAACCATATGCGAAAATGTCAAAAGTTGACATATGATATGTCATTTTATTCAGAGTGTCATTCTCTATCGAATAAATTAAAACAATACCGAGGGTGCTATTTAAAAATCAAAAATTATAGTTATTTCCGGTGAAACAGAAAGTGACCGAAAACAATTGAATACGTCAATCAATCCAAATTTATGTGATATACTAACATACCATATCTCGTTTTTTTATCTGTAAAAATAAAAAAATTATAGGGGTGCCTAGCCACTTTTGAGACGCACCCGGTATGTTGGTGATATATTTTATTTAAATTATTTTTTTTTGCTGATGATCTGATATTATTTAGCAAAATCTAAACAAACCATATGTTTATTTTGTAGTTTGGTTCGATCACACACTTAATAAAATAAAGCAAAAAAAGGTAGAAAATATTATACAAAATGGAATAGGTACAATATATCAAATATTCAAATTAAATTAATAAAAAAGATGTTAAATAAAATATTGAAATTTTAATTGAAGCATCCTTTGAGGATATCCCACAGATAATCATTTTTATTTCTTTGTCCTTTCATTCTGCTGCTGGAAATAGAAATAATTAAAAAGCATATTTCCATAATAGCCTAGATTATCTACCTCGTACAACGATATGGACACTTTTTTTTCCTTTTTAAAAAAAATAGTTTTTTTTCTCATCTCTTTTTTTATTAAATTAACAGCTATAAAACTGGCCAACTTTAGTTTTCTTTTATTCTTTATTAATTATCATGGAGTTGATTTCTGTTGGGAATATCCTCTTTAAATATCTACACCAAACCAAATCTCGCACTTTACTGTTACAATTACCGGTACAATTAATGTCACATAATGAGGAAAAGTAAACATTTATACTACAATAACATAATATTTATAAATATTTTTCAATCCTTTTCTTATTAATTCAATTAATCTATTTTCTTCTTGCAGTTGCTGAGGTTTCTTCGGCTCAACGCATCAAAAGTGGAAGATTTACAAGTTCTAAGTCTAGTGTAAGTATTATAACTTTACATAACTAAGCAATTAAGGTAAATAGTCTCTTATTATTATGCATTGAGTGTACTCAATTCAGCATTCCTCTCATTGAGCATTGAGTGTACTCAATTATGCTCTCTACACTCAGTTGTGTTTGCCACTGTATAAAAAAATGCTTTTAGTATTGTAACTATACAGGGTGTCTTAAATAACTGCAAATATTTATAAGGGTAGTATATTTCCACCCCCGAAAACACGGTTAGGAGTTTTTTTTGCGAAAAAAAAATCAAAATCTTGAATTTAAAAGAAAATGGATTTTTTTTTAGTTTTTAGTTAAAAACCATAATTTGTTGATAATATAGCAACATATGTAGTAGATTAAATTTACAAGAAAAAAAATCCAGAAAAGAAGTTCTAAAAATTTAAGCAAAAAATATTTTTTTTTGGAAATTTTCAAACTTGGTTATTTGCGGCTTATTTAAAAAACGGTAAAAAGAAAATATGTTTCTTTTATCGAGATCTACTAGTCATGAAAATATTTGCACTTATTTAAGACTCACCCTGTGTAAAAATTAAAAAAAAAACATTTTCAAAGTTCATTAAATTAAACGAACAGATTGAATTATTGCGTACCAATAGTAATAATAAATGAATAATAAAATTCAAATGTTTCTTTATTAGGCATTTAAACTTCAAATTGGTTATTAAAGCAAATCCAGTTCACTGAAAGCAAAATTAATGGTTTATTTTTCAACTGCCGTTTCAGTTAGGTTCAGGACTGCTTTTACAGCTATTGTAAATTAATTAGATTTTTAATTACTTTAATAATTACTATTACAGAAAATAGAGGAGTTGGGGAATGTATACCTAAATTGAAATCTACTGTTTGAAAGCAATTATGATGAATTTTGAACTGATATATCTACATGAACTGGCTTTGTTTTTCGTTTTGCTACTAGTCCCCCATCAGGTGTAAACTAAAACTTAAAACTAAACTCAGAATATACAGGGTGATCCAAACTGTATTTCGGAAACTTTGCCAGCATATTCTCCAGAAAAAAATAAGTAAAAAAGTTCGTATAAATGCATGTCCTAAAATGCTTAGTTTCGGAGATACAGGACGTAGAAGTTTCATTTTTATTTCGATTTTTTCCAAATAAGTTATGAAGTAACGTCAATATTTGGATGAAAATTGGTATTTGGGAGTTTTTTGACATGAGAAATTTTATTTTGATGTTAATATGACTCCTACTTGTAGAGGGCGGCACTTACATATTTTAACTGGTTTGAAGAGTAATAATTTTTCATCCGTACCGGTATAAAACTACTGAGTAAAAAAATATACATTTACGACGTTTTCTACAAAAAAAGTATCTAAATGACAAAAACGACAGAAGTTTCAAAGTTCAGCTAATATTAATCAAAAAAAAATATTTGATTTTAACATAATTTAATATTAAAACGAAATAATTTAATACCAATCCTTATTTAAGTAACCATCGATCAATTTATGTAGAATATAAGATGCTATGCTGACCCAAAAATTATCTCTAGCCAAAGCAAACAATCCCAGTAAACGTATAATACCAACGTTAAATCCGGGACCTCGTTCTATTCCCTGGGGGAAATCCCCAAGCGCCGAAATCTATCATTTTCTCGAATCTCCATTTATTTCGAAGCGCGCTGGTGGCACACAACATTCATGAATTTCCAGTTTCCTAACTTATTTCCGAGACGCCAATTTTTATCAGCCGGATGAGAGTTAAGATGCTTGTCGTCGAAATATACACCCAGATCTACGCTTTCTTTACATATTAACGGTTTATTAAAGTTTCATAACTTGTCATCATACGATTCGCATTATTTGAAAATTAATAAATTAATTTCAAAAAGTAGTAAGATTAGGAAATTGGAAAGTTTATTTTGTCAGTTACTATGTTTATTATAAGTTTTATAGTCAAAACAGTAGAAAAATATAATAGATTCAGCACAACTTTTCTTTTAGGAACGCGCTGATAAACTTGCAAGACAAGGATCGTGCCTCGAATGTACATCCCAATGTATGTTTTGGTGTATCTCCCTTTCTTAAGGTTTAACTAGTTATAGCTCATCATACAGTCTCAGGGCTTTGATAAACCCCAGTATTTGAAACGGCTTCTTATTGGTTTATTGGACGAATGGTTGTCGTCTCGGCACACTCAGTGATGAGGTGTTCTGGTGTTTCCCCATTTTCCCCACAGAATCTGCATTCGGCGTTGTTTCTTAGCTTCAATCTACTCAGGTTTCGTTGAGTCGACAGTGTCCTGTTAAGAACCCCGTGACAATCCGAAGAAGGAAATCTAAATCAAGGAAAATTTTTGATTTTTCTCGGTCGTAAGTTTTGAAAAATTCTTGTGTGTCTTAGACCGTTGGAGGATGTCCATTCCAGGTTACGGATGGAGTCGTCGAGGTTCATGAATTTCGCTTTTAGTTGGTTTCCACTTGGAAAGCAGAACGGTTCTGGTCCAGTTAGTAGAGTGTTGGCTCCTTTTCTAGCTAGATCGTTTGCTTTTTCATTGCCTTCTATCCGATGGTGAGCTGGCACCCAGAGTAGGAAAACTTTATTTTCTTTGCCTAATTTTCAGCTTCTCTAGGCATTCTTTGACCACCTTCGAATTGGTGGTTACTGAGTTAATCGCTATTAGTGCTGCTTGACTATCGGTATGCTGACTGGAGTTCGTCAAGCGGTCGTTTTCGCCACTTTAACCATCAAACTGTGAAAAGAATCACTTCATAAAGACAGTATAACCTAAATGCAAAAATTATGGTAAACAATAGTATACTTCATATTCGCGGGTTATTTTTGCAGCTATTAAAAAATAACGGTGTAATATAAAATTATTTAAAAATAAGATTTTGACATTATTACTTTTTTTCCGCAACTAAAGATTGATTTTAGGCAAAAAAATGTAATTTATTAAAAAAGCAGTTATGAATAGAAAAAAAGCTTAGTAAGCAAAATAGAAAAAAAAAATCTTTGTATTCCTTCTTAATTTGTCTCAAAATTTGTTCGCTAAAAAGGCGATCCAGGCGAACAACACTTTGGCAGAATGTTAACAAAGTTTTTCGAGGCACATAACCCATATTTTCGTTTAGAGTTGCTTCTTATCCGGGCTTTTGGAAAATGGGAAAGTTTCGACCAAAGAAGTTTCATTATGGTCTCGTTTTTAAGTCTCTCGAATTTAATCCACTTTGACTTTGTCGACGCTGACGAACCTTTCTACCTGACTGGATCAATGAAACACGAAAAGTCAGATTTCTGGCTTTGGTAATTTCGACTTTGCACAGAGTTTTCAACAAAAAAAGGGCAATATATCGAAAAGGAGGTCTAAAAAGTTGATAATGTAATACAGAATATGGTTTGTAAAAGAAATGTTTTGCTACCAAAATGTTTTAGAAATCGATGGAACCATAAAAAAACATCTCTTAACTAACAAAATACTTAATACCATTTTCAGTGGCCACTGCTTCTAAATGTGAAGAAACAAAATACCAAACTAAAAAAGTCTATGTCTGTGTGTAAATGTCAAAATTAAAATAACCATCAACCATGTCGACCTCTGCTATACTTTTGTTTGTCTTAAGATCTTTGTTTTTAGGTTTTCTCGCGCAAGAATTGTCTGGATATATCATTGTTTGTTGCTATAAAATATTTTTGTTTTAAATATAAATTATTATTTTTATTTCTATATCATGGTTGTGAAAATAAAAATATATAAATTAATGTAAGTAGAACGCGTTCTTATGAATTTAAAAGCTCAACAGCCAATAAAAACTTATATTTTTCATTAAAAACGCTATCTACACCTACAAGCCAACATGGTGAAATTTTAATTCATTATTTTATAAAATTGGCATGGAGTCGGACACAAATCGTCTACATTATATCATATTTGTGTCTAAAAAAGAAACTCGTGTGTCGAAAATGAGTCGACAATAAATGGAAACTTTGTTTCTAAAATATTTCAATTTATCGCTATCTGTGTAGAAATTGCGAACTAGTCATCTGTCAACAACGCCAATCAAAATTTCTTGTCAAAATAATTAAAACATGTTTATTTACTTATTCTAACACAACTGATACATAAAAATATGTATTCCATTGTGGAAAAAAGATAAAAAACGTATGCTGGTAACATTTTTCCTCGGTTTCCTGTTGAATATGGGTAGTGGCTTTTAATACATTTATTCCTAAAACAAATCATCTCTGTCATGCGTATAATAAATTATTATAAAATCGCATAAAAAAAATATCTGTATTTGTACTCACTTGAAGAATGCTTAAATGCAAAAACTGCATAACAAAATCCAAACAATATAATTTTAGGGCTACAAAAAAGGTGATGATGTTCTCATATTTGACACAGAATATCAAATAAATTATGGAGACTTTTCAGGCAAACAACGGGTACGAAATCTTTGTAAATGTGAGCCACATCTGTTTCTTTAAAATTTCGAAAAATTTGTGACACTAAGATCTTTATTGTTATAGCTTATGTAACAAAACCATATTTTGGTGTAATGTTTCGAAACAAAAAGCCATTTATGTTGCAAAACATATGTATCGAAAATGTGACGAAACTGTTTCGCAATGTTTCTCAGCAGAGATTTTGTTTCGATTTTGTGTCTAAAAATGCTACTTGAACCACTACACTAAAAGATTTGGTTTGCGAATTCGGTCTGCAGATAAAAACTTTGTATTTGTCTGGCGAACCAAGTTTGTTGCAGGCGAAATCCGCAGACTTTATCGGTCAGATTAGATTGGCCTAAAAAACGAACAAAGAATAAAGTCGGCGAAATGTTCTTTCTTTCTAAGCAGCAGTTCTTATTAGGATAAATATTTATCAATATAAAAACTGCTATAAAACGTCGAATTTATAAATAATATTTTCTTGCCTTTTGCTGTGTATTTTTTTTAATTTCGAAAAATCGAAAGTAGAGAAAAAATAAAAAAATAAAAAGTAAGAGAAAATTGTTT